TAAGTGGATTAAATTCTCTAATAAAATGATAAAAAGTGGTAAATGGCTTAAAAAACAAGATCCAACCATGTGCTATGTGCAAGAGACTCACTTTACTAGTAAGGATATATATAGGGTGAAAGTGAAGGGATTATAAAAGACATTCCACACAAATGAAAACCAAAGAGAGCAGGGGTAGCTATATTTATATAAAATAAAATTGACTTTAAGCCCAAAACTATACAAAGAGACAAAGAAGGTCATTACATAATGATACAGTGGTCAATTCATCAAGAGGACATAACAATTATAAATATACATTCACCCAGCATCAGAGGACCTCAATCCATAAAGCAATTATTAAATGATTTGAGGAAAAGGATACACTGCCACACAATAATAGTTTTGTATAATAATACAGTCTTTTCAATAATGGATGTATCATGTAGATGGAAAAGCAATAAGGAAACACTGGATCTGAATTACATTTTAGATCATTTGGATCTAACAGACATACAGAACATTCTCCCAATAGCAATGGAAAACACTTTCTTCTCAAGTGCACATAGAACATTCTTCATGATAGATCATATATTAGGCCACAAAACAAGTTTTAAGAAATTGAAGAACTGAAATCATAACAAGTCTTTTTTTTTGTCACAATGGCATGAAACTAGAAATCAGCAAGAGAAATCTTAGAAAATTCACAAATATATGGAAATTAAACAACATGCTCCTAAACAACCAGTTGGTCACAGAAGAAATAAAGAAATAAAAAATACTTTGAGCAAGGCTCAGCTCCCATAGCACAGTGGTTACAGCACCAGCCACGTACACTGAGGCTGGTGGGTTTGAACCCAGCCTGGGGCAGGTAAACAACAATGATGACAACCTCAACAAAAAATAGCTGGGCACTGTGGTGGGTGCCTGTAGTCCCAGCTACTAGAGAGGCTGAGGCAAGAGAATCACTTAAGCCCAAGAGTTGGAGGTTTGCTATGAGCTGTGATGACACAGCACTCTACTGAGGGTGACATAGTGAGACTCTGTCTCAAAAAAAAACTTTGAAACAAACAAGCTACATCCCTTATGGGATGTAGCTAAAGCAGTCCTAAGAGGAGAATTTATAGCAATAAAAATATATGTTTAAAAAGAGGAATTATCTCAAACATTCTAACATCATGCCTCAAGTAAGCATAAAAAAATAATAAACTAAGCCCAAAGCTAGGAGAAGGAAGAAAGTAAGATCAGAGAAGCAGAAATAAATAAAATAGTGGTTTTCACATGCAATCCGAAATACTGACCAGTTTGATGGAAGTATTTCGGACTGCATGTGAAAACCCCACACTGTACCCCAGAAGTGCATTAATGTACATAGTTACCATTCCATAAAAAATAAAAATAAAAATAAAATAAAGGCTAAAAAAAAATAGACAAAATTAACACAACTAGGAGGAAAAAAGAGAAAAAAATCAATAAAATTAGAGATTCTATAGATTGATAGGAGACAACTGTATTTCTAACATTGAGCCTTCATATCCATAAATATTGTGTACCTCTCCGTAAATTTTGCTTTTGTTTTATAAACTTTCCCATTATTTTTTAGGTAATCCTATGGAAATTTTCCATATCTTGGTAGTGGTAACAGGACCATAGGCATTTGTCAAAACTTGCAAATGGAGTAAATTTTACTGAAGTGTGCAAATGAAGCCTTAATAAAAATGTTTTTGACAGCTGGGTGGCAGATGTGTAAATAGTAACTGACCTAATGGAATCATTCTGCCACGGAGAAACTGAGAACATCCTGACGTCGGAGCCTGACTACACAAACTGAAGGCACTGGGGTGGGACTGAGGTGCTGATAAGTGAGCAGTCTGGGTACCATAACGGGTCCAGCTCAGGCGGACACCTGCTGATTGTACTGTCCCCAGTTGGGAGTCACAGTCACGTGCTGGGGGTGTGTGTGTGTGTGTGTGTGTGTGTGTGTAGTCATATGTCCAGAGCTCAGGTGCAACCATGTGTGGGGGTGCTTTGGGGGTCCAGGTTGGGAGTAGTTACATGCTGGGAGCAGAGTCCTGGGGGTATAATTAAGTGCTGGGGATTCAGTCGCCTGCTAGAAGGATGTCACGTGACAGGGGCACAGTCACATGTCTAGGGCTCAAGCTCTGTCACGTGTCCAAGGGGGCGCCCTCACCTGCTAGAGGCTCAATCTTAGGTCACTGCTAGGGGTACTGCCTCGGGCCTCATGGCTGCTCCCTCTTTCAGCTGGGGACAATTCTGGGCGTCTGGTCTGGGGGTTCTGCTGCTGCTGCTCCCTCTGGAGAGCCCCACGTGTGAAGCTGCTGCGGTTCACAGACAACCCAAGAGCCAGGGACTCTCTCTGAGTGGCGACGTGGGTAGGCCCCTGCCCGGGGTTCCTTAGCCAGTGGGGACCGTGCCCTCAGGCTCCCAGTTGGGCCCTCCCCTTTCCCTGCCTGCTTCTCCCTCTTCTATCAGTCCCCTCTGCCACCTCTGCTGCTCCTCCCGGGTTGCTCGTTCCTCCCTCTTCCCCAACTCCTTCTCCCACCCGCCCCCAACACCAGTGATCCCAGCGTCACTCCACTCTGTGCTCTGACCTCTTCGCACAGCTTGTGGTCGGCGTCATGTGCAAGGGAGGGTCCTGGGCGGTGACTCTGCCTCCGAGAGGGATTGGCCGTGGCAGGTCAGCTTACACTACGCGGGCTTCCACGTCTGTGGCGGTTCCATCATCAATGAGTACTGGGTGCTGTCCGCCGCCCACTGCTTCCGCCGGTGAGGGGGCCGGGGACACTAGGGACAGCGGGAGGGACAGGGCAGCTTGACGGTCCCCACTCGTGCCACCCCCTCCACCGGCTGACCCACGCACCGCCTGGTCTCCACGCACGAGGCTGGTCCCCAAACATAAGGCGGGCCTGAAAGTGCCCGGCTAGGTCCTCCAGTGCCTGGCCCTGTCCGCTGCACCTCAGATCATCTGGTGCCCCAGTACAGAGGCATAGCTTTCCTGTGGGTATCTGCCCTCTGCCGGAGGTGAGCCACCTGGTCCTGGGTAATAGAGAGAGGGTTCCGCCTGTACCGGCTGCTGGCTGGTACAGCGGGGGACAGCAGCCACTTGGTCTCTGGAGCCTCGGTAGGTAGGCCCTAGCAAGACTCCTTTGGGGGCAACTCTTGTTATGCAGTCAGGTCAACCCCCACTGTGTGATGAAATCGAGGGGTGGGGGGACTCTTCAACCCAGGCTGAGTGAGCTCAGCTGCCCAAGTCCCTGCTCTTGGCCTGCCAGGGGCCTGTGAGCTGTTGGGTTGCAGGCACTGTGCCTTTGTTCTCGTCCCCATAGGGACAAGAACATCGACATTTATGACGTGTACGTGGGCCTCGTGAACCTCAAGGTAGCCGGCAACTACACCCAGTGGTTCGAGGTGAACAGGGTGATCTTGCACCCCACCTACGAAGTGTTCCACCCCATCGGAGGCGATGTAGCCCTGGTGCAGCTTAAGTCCCGCATCTTCTTCTCTGAGTCTGTGCTTCCGGTTTGCCTAGCACCTCCGGATGTGAACCTCACCGCTGACCTTAATTGTTGGTCAACTGGATGGGGGCTGGTCTCACCGCAAGGTAAGAACAAAATCAAAGGCTAGGGGGATCATTTCCTTTATAGGGGTTTGTGGACAGGTGGGGATTATGGAATGACTGGTGGGGATTGTGAAGACCCCACCCATCTATCAACTTTTTTGGTCAATGAGGATGTTTTGTTTTATCCGAGACGGGCTTCGCTGTGTGCAGAAAAATAATTTGAGTGTGAAATTGGAATGCAGTACATCAAGAACACAAGTTTAACAGCATAGTTTTCCTTAAGATTTGAATTCAACTTAGAATTCTTTTGGCCTATTTAAAAAATAGTTATTATGCTTTTCTCCATGAAGAGCAGTATTTTCTTTCCGGGTTTATACCTGGGCACGTGAGAATATTTAGGGGGATTCAAACAAGATTTTAAAATTTCATTTGTTAATTAGTTACTGCTGTTTATTTTTGCACATTGATCTTGCATCCAGCTATCTTACAGAACTCAGTTTTAATAGTTTGTCAGCTGATTATGTTGATAGTTCTAGATAAAAGAGTTTATTTTCTTCAAATGAAGACTGTTTTATTTCGTACCTTCTACACACTGCAATCTTCTTATCTTTTATTTATTTTTCTTGTCTTGTTGCAATGGTTGGAATAATGCTAGGTTTCTTTTTCCTGGTTTTGATTTTATTGGAACTGCTTCTAATGGTTCACTATTAAGATTGTGGCCCAGCCTGGAGATTTCGGGCTGATATATTACACCAAGTTAAGAAAGTTACTGTTTATAGCTGGTTTATTTAATTATTTAAAAATTTATAAATCATTATTGATTTTATTGAAACAATAGCAACTCTTGAGAGGATCATATAGTTTTGCTCTTTTAATCTGTTGGTGCCAAGAATAGATTCACATTTCATGTGACGTGCCTTTGAGCTAAAAACTCTTCTTCCAGTCTTTGCAGACTGGCTCTGTGCCCAGACATTTCTTCAACACTTAGCGAGGCTTAGACTGGCTTAGTCTGAGATGAAACTTGGGGTCTTCTCAGGTTGTCTTCTCAGCATATGTCTTACCCTGGACATGTTCCTGGCCTTCTAAATTCCCCCAGGTACAGTGGTGCTTTTGAGCGTCCTCATTTCCCTAAGAAACCCTCCCCAGCTCTTGCTCCTGGGCCTTTTGCTGTATATTATGTGTTTTGGCCATAATCTATTGCCCTGGGCTTCTGTGAGTTGTTAGCTTGGGTGGAAAAGTTTTGAGTAGCACCCACTGCTTTTCTATGCTGACTTCTGAGGCAAAGCAGAGTGAATGCTTTGTGTCAATCCTGCAGGTAGCTCTCCTAACAGATTAGGACAGACATGCACAATAATATGCACATAAGGTCTACGCTGCTCCTCCTGGAACCAGAGAACAGCATTCCACACTGGGAATACAGGCTTCCCTTTTTAAAGTTAGTACCACACTGGGAAAGAACAAGTGAAAACACTGCAAAGTTTTTCGACCATTTTGAATTTGTCTTTTTCTTGAGTCAGCATTCACATAGTTGCTGTGAACCTTTGTTTTCCAGAGTTCTGAAAAAGTTGGTTCTGATAGTTCTTGTTTTTCAAGCAGGAGGGAACAGGAGGTTAAGGCTTCTACTCTGCTGTTTTTCTCACCTTCTGCTATTTTGATCAGGATGGCATTAAATCTACAGATGAATTTTGGGAATATTGCCATTTTAACAATATTGAGTCATCCAATCCATGAATACGGGATGTGTCTTTATTTAGATTTTCTTAATTTCAGCAGTATTTTACAATATTTGATTGTATAGGTCTTATACTTCTTCTGTTAAGTTTATTCCTGTTTTATTATTTTTAAACCTATTGTGAATGGAATTTCTTAATTTCATTTTTGGTTCCCTTTCCCCTTCCTCATCACAGCGGCTATAACCTCTAGTACAATGTTAAATATAAGTGGTAATAGTGCATATCCTTGTCTGGTTTTTTGTTGTAAGGGGGGGAAAATGTTTTAGTCTCTCACCATCAAGAATGATGTTTGCTGTGGGTTATGGTGGATGCCCTTTAACAGACTGAGGAAAATTTCTTTTGTTCCTGGTTTGTTGAGAGTCCTTACCATAATAGGACATGTATTTTTTTCTAATTTCTTTTCTGCATCCAGTGAGATGCTTGTGTGGCTTTTGTTTGTTTGTTTGTTTTTTGGTTTTATTTTTGGTTTTGGTTTTTGTTGAGACAAGGTCTCACTCTGACACCCAGACTGGAGCGCAGTGGCACAATCATAGTTCACAGCAGCCTTGAACCCCTAGGCTCAAGCATCCTCCTCACTTAGGCTCCCCAGCAGCTGAGACTACAGGCATGCACCAACATACCTAGCTAATTTTTAAAACTTTTATGTAGAGATGGGATCTTACTATGTTTTCCAGGCTGGTCATGAATTCCTAGCCTCCAGAGATCTTCTTGCCTATACCTCCCAAAGTTTTGGGATTATAGATGTGAGGCACTGCACCTGGCCTCATGTGGCCTTTTAACTTTTATTTTATGAATCTAGTATACTCTGTTGATTTGGGTGTATTAAGCCAACCCTGCATTCCTATGATCAATCCTTTTTTGTCATTCTGTATGATATTTTTTTATAGGTTGCTAGAAACAGTTTGCTAACATTCTGTTAAAGATTTTTGCATCTATATTTATGAGACATAGAGGCTGTATTTTTTCATTGTTTTTTATCTGGGTTTAGTATCAGAGTAATATTTGTTTTTGTAGTATTGGTGTTTCTTATTTGATGGAATTCACTAGTGAAGCTACCTTGGCCTGGGCCAGGTATGGGTCTATTCAGATTTTTATTTCTTCTTGAGTTATTCTAAAGTTATTCTTGAGTTATTTAGATTTTCTTAATTTGATAACACATAGTTGTTCATAATACTTTAATAATCCTTTTGATTTCTAAGGAGATAGTAATAATATTTCATCTTTCTTTACTGATTTTGATAACCTGTGTCTTTTTTCATCTTGGTCATTGTAACTAAAGGTTTATCAATTTGGTTGTCTTTTCAAAGAACTGACTTTTGATCATTGATTTTCCTTTTTTGTTTTCTATTTCATTGCTTCAGTTCTGCTCTTTATTATTTCCTTATTTCTGGTTGCTTTTAGGTTAATTTCTAGCTTAGAGTGATTTGTGATCTTTTTTCTTCTAAGGTAAGCATTTAAAGCTATAAATTCCCCTGTATGTACTGTTTTATATGCATTTCACACATTTTGTTATAGTGTGTTTTTGTTTTCATTTAGTTTAACATATTATCTAATTTCCCTCAGGATTTTTTCTTTAAAGATTGTTATTAATTTTAAGTATTTGGTGAATGTCCAAATTTCTTTTTATTGTTAATTTCAACTTTAATTTCATTGTGCTCAGAGAAAATACTTGGTATGATTTTATATTTTTTAAACTTATTGAGATGTATATTGTGGCCGAGCATTTGATTTGTCCTGAGGAATGTTTCATGTGTTTGAGAATATGTGTCTTGCTGTCATTGATGTGGGTTTTTTTAATAAATCACAGGTCAAGTTGATGGATAATGTTTTCAAGTTTTCTATATTCTTACCGGTTTTCTGTCTTTTTAAAAGTCAATTATTTAAAATAGGATATTTATCTCTCTAACTATGATTGATGAATTGTTTATTTCTCCTTTCCATTCTGTCAGGTTTTGCTTCGTGTATTTTCAGACTCTGATATCCAGACTCTGAGTGGATGCATCTATATTTTTAATTATGTGTTTGTGATGTATTGATTCTATCATTATCATTTAGATATCTCTTTTTCCCTAGCCATATTGTTTATTTTAAAGTCTATATTGTCTGATACTGATATATCCACTTAGGATTTCTTATAGTTAATGTTTGCATGATATATCTTTTTTCATCCTTTTAATTTCAACCTTTATGTGACTTTGATTCTAAAGTGTATCTTTTGTGCACAAGGTACAGTTGGATCTTCCTTTTTCATCCAGTCTGGAAATTTCTGTCTTTGGTTGAAGTATTTAGTCCATTCATATTTAATGTAATTATTGATAGTGCTGGATTTAAATTTGCCATTTTGCTAAATATTTTCTATATATCTATATAATTTATTTTCTCTACTCTTCTGTTCACGCCTTCTTTTGTGTTAAGGAAATACTTTTTGGTATACCATCTTGACTTTTATATGTTTACAGTTTTCTCTAAATAGTTGCTGTAGGGATTATTTCATTTATAACAATAGTCTCCAATTAATACTAATTTAATTCTGGTAAAAGATAGCAAGTTCATTTCAATATTGCTCTACTTCCCTTTTTTGCCAGTAGGGTCTCATATACTATTCCTCATACAATAAAAACCCCAGAACACAGTTATAATTATTGCTTTATGCAACCTAGTTTTTAAAAGAGATTGAGGAAACAAAGAGGACAGTATTTTAACACATTGATTTCTAATACTCTTCATTTCTTCCTATGGATTAAAGCAGCATCTGGTGTCATTTCCTTTCACCTTAAAAGACTTCCTTTAATATTTCATGAAAGGTAAGTCTGCTCAATTTTTCGCAATTTTTGTTTATCTGGAATGTCTTTGTTTTGCCTTCATTTTTGAAGAATAGTTTTGTTGTATATAGAATTCTTGGTTGAAGGTTTTTTCTCTTTGAGCATTTAGTGTTCATTGTTTATGATGCAAAGTTGGCTATTAGTCATCCTGATTTTTGTCCATGTAATTGGTTGCTTTTCCCCTGTAACCCTTCAGGATTTGTCTGTCCTTCGCTTTTTGTGGGTTGATTATGTGTCTACATGTGAATCTCTTTGTGTTTATCCTTTGTTAGGTTCACTGAGCTTCTCTGATCTCTAGATTCTTCTTCATCAAATTTGGGAAGTTTGAAGCCATAATTTCTTCAAATATTTCCTTCTAAGAGTTTTACTGCAAGTATTTGATATTCTTGATATTGTCTCTAATGGTCTATTTTTTTTTAACTTTTTTTCTCTGTTCTTCAGATTGGATAATTTCTACTAATGCTCTTGATTTCACTGATTTCATTTT